TGGGACCAGGATTGCTCCATCTGAAACAAGACAGAGAAAGACAGGTGTTTCCACCTCCCCCCGCTTTGTTCCTCTGCAGATTCCTCCTCACTCCTTCCTAAGCCATTTACTGCAGATCTCAACCCCAATAAACAGGTGCTGGCCCATCACTGTGCTCATTTTTAATACCTGCTCTGAGGTTATCTCCTAGGACATTTTTGGCTCTGCAGCACTTATTGAGCACTACAGTAAACCGGTATAAACTCGGACAAAATGCCAGGGGAATGATAAACCAGTGACATTTCTCACCCTCTCTGTAGAAAATGTTGACAAAGGCTGCATTTGGCAGATTGTATTTCAGAAAGCTGACATTGCGTTGCTGACATCACCTTGGACTGGAGGGGCTGTTTTATTTGCATTCTTGACATTGGTAATTCTCAGATTTTATTCATAAATGGCTCCTATGTGTGATGCCAGCTGAAGATGCTGTGAGTGTAGATGCAGGAGGCTGGCTTTGTCTTGTTTTCATTAACAGAGCCGGGTAAGGGCCTTCCCCTTACACTTTGCTTTGTCAGCTAGGACTACATATAGATATGTGGGGACACAATTCTTTTCTGCTGTTTATAAAATTAAGCACTTAATTTTCTTCAGTGGCATCTATGGCCTTTTGTATCAAATGCAAAACCTTAAACGTGGTGCACAAAGGCCCCTGCCTAGCCTTTTATTGTATCTTCTACTCTCCTCTGGAAACATGAGATGCATGCTATGGACTTACTAGTGGATGCCTGTCTGGGTCGTCCTCTCTCTGATCTAGGAACTTTTGACCTTCTATTTATCTCTAAATAGAATGCTCTTCCATTTCCTCTATATTGCATCTCCTTTAAGATTTAGTCCATTTACTCTAAAGCAGTGGTTCTCCGCCTTTCTAATTCCGTGACCACTTAATATAGTTCCTCATGTTGTGGTGATCTCCAACCATAAACTTATTTTCATTGCTACTTCATAACTGTAATTTTGCTAATATTAATGAATCGTAATGTAAGTATCTATGTTTTCCCAACCGCTGCTGTGTTTTAGGCTCTACAGCAGTGGTTTTCAACCTGTGGGTCGAACCACTAGGGGGGTTGTCTAAGACCATTGGAAAAGACAGATATTTACATTATGATTCATGACAGTAGCAAAATTACAGTTATGAAGTGGCAACAAAATAATTTTATGGTTGGGAATCACCACAACAGGAGGAAATAAAGGGTCACGGCATTAAAAAGGTTGAGAACCACTGCTCTAAAGCCTTCCGGTTCCTTCCTTCTCCCCCAGGTCTCTCTCTGCAAGTGAAAGGACAGCAATCCTGTGTCTTCAAGAGCGCCTTGTATATTAGAATCCTGTCTCAGTGGGTTATTGTCTCTTCCATAGCTTTGAGGCCTCTATGGGCAGAGAATCTGTAGCTCTTGTTCTTGTCACATAGTAGGGCATTGAGAAGTTTCACTGAATGCATAAGTGTTTTTATTTATTCATGTACTTCATCTCTGGGCTGTTGAGTCCTTTTTTTTTTTTTGGCCTATTGATTTATGATGATTAATCATTTCTGCTATTAGGGTACCCTTGATCTCTCAAGAAGCTTTTATTACCAACATTAATTTTAATTTTGAGATGAGTATTAATATTCTCCATCTGTCTCCTGAATAAGAAAGGGAAAGGAGAGAAGAAATCATATGCATTTTTGAGCCCTTTCTATGTGCCAGGAATCTGCTAAGTGCTTTAAGATGTATATTCTAGGAAAATATATTTTAACCTCATTTTATACGTTAAAAAATATCCAAGTTCAGAGATGTTAAGTGACTTTTCAAATGTCACACACACACACATACACACACACACACACACACACACACACACCGATAAAGTGATAAATGCTGATAGGGCTGGTTGTGCACTTCTTCTGTATCCAAAAACATTCAGTAAACATGTATTGAATAACTTACATGGCATACTTGGTGCCTACATGGAAATTGGGAAAGGTTTGAGCTTGTCTGTGAATAAGAGGGATAGACAGATGTGTCACCAGTTGAAACATGCCCTCATTTATGCCGGGCAAATGTATGTCTATGGTTCTGGAAGTGTCAAAAGTGAACCAACTTAGTTTAAGTGGCACCCCTGCTGGGAAGCCTGTTTTCAACTTCACACTTCTATAGCTGAGCCATGACTGTAAGTGTTAACAAGGCAGAAGAAGGTCAAGGGCTTTCTAGACAGATACAAGTACACGCAAAGGCCTGCAGACTTTCCTTCTGAGAAATTCAGTTCAAGAAGGGAATTTATTCTCTCAAGTAGACCTAAAGGCAATATGAAGATATAAAGATACCGCCACCCTGTTGCCTTTTTATATCATGAAAGGACCACATTTTCCCTCTCAAATTTATGGAGAGGTTCTTTCTGGCCAAAGGGAAAGGGAAAGAAGAGAAAGACCTTTCCATAAAGGGCCAACCAGATGTATCAGATATATAGGAAATACTGACCAGTGTAAAAGTGTTACCTGTGTATTTATCAAGGGAACTTTTTTTCTCTATGTTCTCGTAAGCACAGACAATTTACCGATTTAAAAAAAAATGAGCAGCTGCCTTTCAGGAGCCCAGAAAAATCAGAGAAGGATCTATGTAAAGAGGTCCAGCCGACCATGATGGAGCATGACTGGGACATGTGTACGGGGCAGGTTAGAAGCATCAGGCAAAGGTGCCCCACACTCTGTACTTATTACTAGATAGCCTTATTAGCTAGACATACTTTAAGCCATTCTTTTTCTTTTCTTTTTTTTTTATCCTCACCCAAGGATATTTTTCCATTGATTTTTAGAGAGAGTGGAAGGGTGGGGAAGTGACACAGAGAGAGAAATATCAATGTGAGAGAGACACATCAATTGGTTGCCTCCTCGATGTGCCTGCAACCAAGGTACTTGCCCTTGACTGGAATTGAAGCTGGGACTTCAGTCCACAGGCTGATGCTCTAGCCATTAAGCCAAACCAGCTAGGGCTTGAAGCCATTTTAGACATCTCACTCTGAAAATAAGATGAAGAGAACATTTATGTTTATGCTGTTTTTCTTTGGTTTATCATCATTTTTAGCATTATTTAGGTAAAATTGGCAAATAGAATTATATTTAAAGTGTATAATGTGTACATTGTGAAAGGCTACATTGAGTCATTATATCCTTCACCTCACATGTTTAACTTATTTGTGTATGTGTGTGAATCCATAATTTCTACTCTTAGCAAACTACAACTATAAACACAGTATTATCAACTGTAATCACCATGTTATTATACATTAGTTCCTCAGGCTTCATTCATTTTAAAATGGAAAGTTTGTACCCTTTTACTTATCACCTCTCCCCATTTTCCCCTTTCCCTAGCCCCTAGCAACCATCTATCTATCTATCATCATCATCAAGTATAATATTTGGTCTTAAAATGTTCAGAAAAACATCAAACTGCAGTTCCAACCAACATGTATAAATAGGCTAGAGAATGTTATGTTGTTCAGTGTACCCATGGGCTTTTGTAAGGTGTCTGGTCAATGGCAGGACCATCAAAACCAGCACCTCCGCAGACATTTAGTCTGGCTTGGTGTCCGCTTTTGAGAATTCATCAGTGCTACACATAAAAGCGTCAATAATTCTTTGTAACCTGGAGGTACTCCTAGACTGCAAGAAAATGGGTGGGCACATTAGCAAATAAAAATAGTTGGAAACTAAGTGGTTTAGTTTAAAAGTTTTATTTCGTTATTGCAGTTGTTTTGTTACAGATGGACAAATATTCAAGCAGGGTACGGGAGCCGGTTAGGCACAGCAGATGCCGGAGAAACAAAGGTCTCTTTGCTGCCCCTGCTTCATTTCCTTAATTGAGAGGGACAGCCCCTTGAAACAACAGCTGCTGCCTTTACATACATCAAAAGATTTTAAGAAACCACTGCTTTTATTAATTTGGGGCCATGAGCACTTGAAACAATGCAAGTGGGGCCAAGCAAATAGGTTTGCATGCTAATTTCAACATCATTTTTTATGGGATGCCAGTCTTCTGGAATAACTGGTGCCACTCATTTCAAGGGAGGAACTCTGAGCAGGCAACTTAGGAGGTGAACAATGGGTTACTACCCAGCCATAATTTGCAAAACCCAGTTAGCCACTGGGCTTTCTAGTTGGAGTTTTGTCAGGGAGCTTGTTTGCTTTTAGATGCTGGTGACCATGGCCTTGTCAGAAGAGGTCACCTCTGGATCTAGTCAGTGCTTCAGTATGGACATGGAGGGCCACTGTTCCTGGAGAAGCAGTCCCAGCAAAACTTAACTGAAATGGGAGTGAAAAGTGTCACCATCTTCCTGTATTCAGATCCCAATGATGAAATTCACAAGCATGTGCCCTTGACTCTTTGGAGTAAATTATAAACCCTTATTAGGGCATTTCTCCTTTCTAGAAGAAGAAAGCAGGACATAATGTCCCTAATATTAGTCCAACAGTAAAGAGAATGGTTATTCTTTTGCTACATTGCATTCACATTGGTTGGGTCATGTGTTTGGTTTGGTTTTCATAGTTCAAAGGATAGCAGTAGGTAGTTTTGCAAATTTCAAATGAGAGAATTAATTAGATCCCTTTGCTATGTAATCACTGTTCAAGTCAGGCAGCTAAAACCACCTGTCTGGCATTGCCTGATAAGTCTTGAAAGTTTAATACTGTAGGGAGATTTTTTTTGCCTGAGACCACATGCCATGCGTAGGACTTATTGAAAAGCCTGAGCTAATAACACACAGCATCTCTGCCAGAGTCAAGCTTGAACTCCACTGAAGAAAAGTTTCATTATTGTTTTATGTGAAGTGGAAATTATACTGTCAGACTTTACCAGTAAGCAGGGTGGATATACCCCAAGGATAGTGGTTTTAGAGTCCTGTGGACATCAGTAGTCAGTCCCCAGGCTCAGCTGAGCTTCTCTAAGGCATGAGTGAAGTTGCTAAGTTGCTTGTTTCTTCATTTTTTTTAGGTCTGTGATGGGTTCAAACAAGGAACCAGATCTTGTGCATCTCGAGGCCAGAACTGTGGATGGTCGTAAGTAAATCAAGTTTTCCAAGGTGTTCACTGAGATAATTCATTTTATCAATCCACCAGGAACCATGTCTATGTTCAGGAAAATCACTGGCAAAAATCCAAGTCATTTGGACAGGATGACTCTTCCAGCTTTTAGTAATTCCGAATTGTCTTAGTCATTTTTGACAACTCTCATTCAATCAGGCTGTGTTGCTTTCCTAGTAATGTGAAAACTCAAAATCCCTCTTTTCTGCCATGTTTTATTACTGTGGTTGCTGCTGCTTTGTTTTGATTGGTTTTTCTTGTTCCCTTATTTGATTGGATGTCATTCAGGCAATGCCTCCCTGTCTTGTTTGGAGACACAGAAAGCACTTAAAGGGCACAGGGGAGAGAAGAATCATCCTGTGTGTCCCATGATAAGCAGCAGGAGGGCCAGGTCTGCACCCCAGGTGCTCAGAGCAGCCCTAGCGAGGACATCCACAGTGAAGGACTACACACGACCTGGCTTTAGGTACATGACAGAGGAAAGAAAGGTGCAAATCCAGAATTTAAACCCTTGTCTGAAAAAAAAATCAAGCCTTCTCACTAATTGTGTGACCTTGAAATATCTACTTAGACTTTATGCTTTAGCTTCTTCACTGTAAATTAAATGAGTTAACAATAATGTGTCCTATAGTAGCTAACATTTACAGAGACTTACCCTGGACGAAGAATTATGTTTAACACTTTATCAACTTTAGCACAAGGAATCCTCACAATTTGTGGGTCATTGTTCCTGTTTTGCAGATGAGGGAATCAAGTCATAGAAAGTTTAACAAACGTACTTAAACAACAACAATGTACCTTTCCTTCTTCTCCTCTTCTCCTGAGGTTCTCCTGAATGTCTGAGAGTTGCCGGAGTACCACTAGATCTAAGATTGGGCACTCAAGGTGAAAAGGACTAAGGGAAAGGGAACATGCATAGAAGAAAGGGATGAGGAAAGAAAAGACAGGATAAGAACGAGGTCCCAAAAGTAGAGGAGAGAAAGAGAATGAACTATCCACAATTATCACCGAGCAGTGAGTTCAGTGTGGTGGAGACGCTTCCATTGCCCAGCAGCTGATTATGTTTTTTTGGGTCCCAGAGTTCACGTCTTACTACCCAATAGCCAGAGCAGCCTTTTCCTAAGGTAAAAGCAATCATATCATCTGTTTCAAGCTTTGATTGACTTCCCACTGCTCTGGCGATCAAGAGCCAAGTTCTCACCTTGACCTTTAGCGGCTGGTGCCTGTTCATTTCCTCAGCTGCACCTCACTGTATTCCTGTCCTCACTTCTTGCCTACAAACCCTTAAATTTGTTTTCAAGATTGGACCCCACAGGTTTCTAGGACTTAATTTAAGGCCCAGATTACCGCTGTTTCCTCTGCCTGGAATGTCCTCTCCTCTTCCCTGATGGATTCAGTGTAATTAATTGCTATGAGTGGTTCAGATCTCAAGCATCAATTTCTATTTTTTTTTTTAACTTTTCACTTTGAAATAAGTTTAGACTCACATAAAAGTAGTAAAGAATAGTCACATTCCTCTGTACTTTTCAACCAGCTTCCCCTAAAGATAGCATCCAATAAAACCACAGAACTATAACAAAATCCTGGAACTCCCAGTCTAAACGAGTTTCTCAATTTGTTTGCTTTCATCCAACTCTTAATATATATATATTTTTTTATCGTGCTCATCTCAGTTTTTAATTGCACATTCCATTTACGTGATTATTTGATCACAGTGTTTTCTCTCCACCAGTAAGGGTGCAGGGGCCATGTATGCCTTTGTTCAATAGTCCGTCTCCAGCACATGTCCCAGTGTCTGCATGTAGATAGAGCTTAATAAATATTTATTTAATGAATGAATGCATAGCTGACCAAGTGTCGGGGTAACCAGCTGGCTACCTAACCTCACTTACCAGGTCCCACCTAGGGACCTTGTCAGAATGTCAATGCTGATGTAGGAGGGGCCCAGCAGTCTGCATTCCTAACAAGCTCCCTGGTGAAGCTGACGATGCTGGTGGTGGAACATGCTGAGGGTCAGAAAGTCCCATAATAAAAACTAATGAAAGAGCTTCAGGGTCTGTCTCCCATGACTACATCCTTGTTTAGAAAGCCCTGGGTGGAATCCTAGATTGCTTTCTTTCCGAGCTTTTGGGGATGTGGCTGCTTTCTGGCTGTGGCATTTAATGCCCATAACCCCATATCCTGAAAACGACAAGGCCATCACTTTCCCTGATCTGCACCCCCCCCCCCGCCCCCCGCCCCGACATTATTCCTGTGTTCCCTGCAGGCATGGAGGTTGATAATGTCAAACTGTCATCTCAGGCTCAGCTTGTGCGAGGCATGAAATATATCAGTTCTAATTTTATTTATTTTATTTTACTTTTTTTTTGCAAAGGCAGCATCTTCAGAAACTATCCAAGAGTGAAAATTCAATAAAGGGATTTAATTTGAAAAGTTATCCCTGTCAAAACAAAGCAGAAAAAAAAAATTACCTACCAATTGAAGAAAAGGATCTAAGCCTGACCTGACCGAATATAAAAAATGAGATTTTCTCAGTATCATGTCCTCCCTTTCCCTGTTCCCCCTTCTTCTCTCTCTTTCTTCTTGGAATCTATTTCCCCATCACAGTAACCCTGGCACCAAGTAAAAGAAACATAGAGGAGGAGGAGGAGGAAGGAAAGAGCTCAGACAGCTCAGAGGCAGTAGTGTTAGCAAATGTAGCTGAGAGTCATTTGCTTCAAGAATTCCAATATCTATGTTTTCTCTTTCTCATTTCCTGATTGAAATTTCTCTTGATTCTCTATTTCTTCATTATTATTTAGTATATAATTTAAATATATGGAGCTCATTGTTTATATTCCAGGTTATGGGTCTTGTAGAGAATGTGCAAAAATAAGGTACTGCTTTTTAATTTGAACAGGTTTTTTGTTGTTGTTTTTATTTGTTGTTTTCTCTGATTGTAATGGGTTTAGGGATTTTTGTAGCCAAGGCACTGAGACATATGACACAGGAAAAATTCTTTCACTTGCTTATTGTGCTCATCCCTATGGGATAGATTGCAAATGCATAATTGGGTTTGTTACACAAAGGTTAGTGTTAGTCTCATTTCACATCTCCCTAGATGACATTTTGTAATTACTGTCTGTTTCATTGGAAGTTTCTGTATTTGAGGGAGGTGAGTTCTGGGAAGCATTGGCTTACAAGGGTCTATGGCTGGCATAGATATGTCATGCCCATTGTGCTGTGAAACCTGTGTTGTAATTTACATGATGTGTTATAGTTTACAGTCATGTCAAGGATGTTATTATTTCTTGTATCACCTCTGTCTTAGTAGACAAGCTGAATTACAATCTCAATTACAGTCAATCACAGGAGGTATTATGGGAAACTTTTGAACATATTTCTTGAATGTGGCATTTGTTATTGGTCCCCACATTCAACTAAGAACACATTGACAAGTCCTCATCCAGGAAACAAACATGTTAATGTTTACAAATCACATATGTGTGTTTGTGTGTTGTGTGTGTGTGTGTTAATGTGTATATACCCACCCATACATTGTATGCACATAGTACATTAAATCTGCTACTCAGACATCAAAATAGTAAGAAGGAAACCTACATTCTATTGACTTACCCAGTATAGGCAGATTTGGGAATGCATATGTAATATACATAGTTACAGAAACAACAGAGATCAAACTGTTGGGTTGAAAACTTTGTAAAAACTCTCGTCTTATTTAAGTTTGCTTGTGTGGGAACCAATGCTCAGAGCCTGACACATTTAAAGTTTGTTGACTTAATAAATGTATGTGTATGTCATGGTATAGGCATGATTTGGGGCTTTAACCATAGGATCTCTGGAGCCCTCTAGGGCTAATGGATGAGCACAAAAAATTTACTAACTCTCTGCAATTTTATGCTACATATTATACATATATGTGATTTTGGAGGAAGAGGATATGGCTCGTATCAGAATTCTTCACATGGCAATATCACATGTATGCATAATTCTATGTTTTTGCTCATCTGTAAACATCATCTTGTAAAAGAACATGTGGTAACATGTTGGACCTTTCTCACTTCCTGAATGAAAGACTGAACTGGTGACTTGGACATTTCCATGCTAGTGGTGACCAGAGCTAGCACAGACAGGGGCCAGGACCATCACTGGCCTCAGGGTCCATTTGCATGAGTAAGTAATCTTACAACAACTTGCCCAAGGACTAATCTCTTTCACTAGGGAAAAACAACCGTGGCCCTTTAAGCAGTTGTGAAAATGACTGCTCAAAAATTTTTCCTGAAATGAACCACAAAGGAGAATTTCACAAGCTGAAATAATAGGAAACTCACAACTTTATATAACCACCATCCCACCAATTCTGGTCTTCTGTGAGAACTGGGAACCTCGTTTCTACTTCCTGTTTCCAGCCCTCCAGTCTAATTTCTACATGGAGCAGCCTATGTATCAAAACCTACAAAGGGCAAACACTGCTGAAGTAAGTACTATGGGCATGTGATAGAGACCTCAGTTCTCACCAGTCTTCAAGAGATTAGCAATGGGGTGTTTTGAGCTTTTACTATAATCATAGATTACCTTTATACCAACAATAGTAGCAATGACAAAAAATAAAAAAGGTAAGCAGTACTCAAGTGTATCCAGGGCTTATATAGATCAATGTGTGTGGCCACATACATACATCACACACACTCACAGACGTTCATGTTACAAAACTCTTACTCCAGTCCAGTGCTAGTGGATACAATAGCAAATTAAAACTCTTTTCATATCAGCACATACAAAGTTAGCCACTTCATGAGGGATCACTACAGTTTACTATAATTTAGTAAGTCACTATCTTATTAATAAATGCTACATGTTTGGCTATTTCAAACAGTGCTGACACACATACACACACATTACTTACATAGTTAGTGAGCATACAAAATTACGTAAGTAGCAAGCACTGCTGAAAGAGAAGTTACTGGCATCCTGGA